AGCTAACCCCCCCCCCATCCCCCCCTGGCAACATATATTAAACCAGAGCGTTTATAACTGATCTCATGTCAGCCCCAGTTCTAGACTGTTTAAGAATAAGTTTAGTCATGCTGATGTTTCAATAAGCCATATTCTCATATGACAATTAGGTTGTAAATTAAAACAATATCTTGTGAATACTCACACAAAATACATATATATTTCCCCACGTTTATGCTCTGAGCTTCTGTTAGTAATAAACTTATTATGCTCTTCATCTATGAAGCTTATCTATGTAGATAAGCTTTACAGAAAATACAGCCTGTATCTTTTATGGGCATTAATAAAGGCATATTTCACAACGTCATTCACATCTTCTACGAAGTGAAATGAAAACATTACTGCATTATAATGACACAGATGCATTAGAAGGCATCCATTCATTGACTCACACCTCCACAATATTTACTGACAGACTTGTCCTTGACCTGTAACTGTGCACTTGATTAAGAAGCTCTAAGCCAATTCAGTTCACATTGAGCTAAATCAAATGTTTTTTGTTTATTTATTTACTTAATGAGGGAAAATACACATAAAAAATACACGACACCATATAAAATGTGTCAGATCTAGCCAAACTGGCTAATTTTCATTTGTAGTCCCTTGGTCTTTGAAGTTAGTTATCTATATCTATTTGGCCAAATGATTATATCATTACAATGGCATCTGTCAAGGTGTGGGATATATTAGGCAGCGAATGAACGTTCAGTTCTTCAAGCTAAAAGATCTGAGTGACTTTGACAAGGGCCAAATAGTGATGGCTAGATGACTGGCTCAGAGCATCCCAAAAAAGCCAAGGCTTGTGGGGTGTTCACAGATTGCAGTGGTTAGCATCTACCAAAACTGGTGCTAGGAAGTACAACCAGTATCAGGAACATGGGCACCCAAGACTCATTGAAGCATGTGGGGAGTTAACCTGTCTGGTCCAATCTCACAGAAGAACTATTTTAGCTCAAATGAATGAAAAACTTAATGCTGGCCATGATAGAAAGGTGTCAGAACATACAGTGCATCACAGTTTGTGATGACCCCTGTTCACCACTGAAAGCGTCTACAGTGGGAGCTAATCTTCTCTTAGCTGCAATAAGTAAGAGATAATCAACGGCTAGCCGTGCATTAAAGGATTTTAATGTACGATGTGGAGGCAAAGAACCACCCGACGCGAAGCGGAGTGCCTCCGCGAAGTGCATTAAAATCCTTTAATGCATGGCTAGCCGTTGTTTATCCCACTTATTCCATGGTCATTTGCCAAGTTATAGACAAGTTCAAACTTGTATTGCTCTTTGCAGCGCAGTATTTGACCGAATGGGTAAAAAAATGAGTTATTTTCGACAGTTACGGCTCGTTAGCGCAAGCATTCTGCCAGATTCAAATCAGACGCAGAGATTAAATAGTGCGGTAAGACCACATTTATTTGAATGAATTATAGCATGTATTTCAATTGATTATCGATCGATCGAGAGAGAGAGAGAGAGAGAGAGAGAGAGATGACAGTTGTGTGTCAGTTACCTGCTTGCTGCATCTGCATGTCTCTCTCTACAAACAATTACTTCAAAAACAGTGATTTTATCACCTCGTTGCTGGGGAATATAATGTAGCGATCTAGTATCTATCTTTTATTTTAGTAATAAAAATCGCGGGGAAGCGTTGACAACAAGTTTATGTGTGTGTGCAGCACAATCTGCGATCTCCGACCTCTCTTGGAAATACCTGTGCATTAAATGGTTTTACTGCATACCTGCCAGCCAATCAGAATCCAGTATTCAGACAGACCATGGAATAACAGCTTTTATTCTTCAGTAACGGCTGCAGAGTTTTGAGGGATCATTTAGACACAAGAGCATCAGTGAACTCTGATTTTGGCGGATGGGGTCTTGGCATCCCAAATGTGTTCAATAGGAATTGCACATTTGTGGAATCAAGCTCTTTCCTACTGACTTTGAAGTGTTCCACCTGCTTAGATTAGTTCACCTGTTAGAAAAGGGTGTAGCTGGAATGTTCATTAGAACTGTGTGTCTACATACTTCTGAGTATTTAATTTATGCGTGGCAGTTTAAAAGTGCCTGCCTGAGGAAATTGACTCCTCGTGATACCTGGTAAAGTTTATTTACCAAGACTGAAAAATTGCAATCATCTGAGTAGGAATTTCAAACATTAAAAGTAGGAAGGCATTATCACTATTAATTATTGCACTACTAAACAATCATGCATTTTATGAGGCCTAATTCTCAACACCATGGTTTAGTTTCTTTTTTGACTGTTTTTTATGTTACCTGCTAAAGTCTGAACTAACTTGCTGCGAATACACAATAATGCAACATACACTTACACTTTAATCCCTACTGTAAAACAAGACAGGAAGGGAATTATTTAATTTTATTCATGCTTTACATTAGAGGATTTTTTTTTTTTGTATACAGTCACTATTTAGGGTGTTAGATTTTGTATGTGCAATTGTGTGCATGAATGCTTGAATATAAAATTTCCATTTCCAGATTTACCTTATGAAATAATTACAAAACATATGATTTTAGGTTGTCATAAGATGAGTGAATGGCAGACTGAATGAGCATATTATATCATTAATGACCTTGACTTAAACACTCAAACTGAAAGTGAGCTTTCTGAATTTGTCGGCTGCTTATCCAGTGGAAAGCTTTAAACCCACCAAACAGCAAAACACAAACCAAAGTACCCTCGATCCAGCAAATATTTCTACTTTTAGAGAACAGCTTGATGGCTCATTGAAATGGCTGCATGGCAAAAGTGAAAATTTACACTGAATTTATTGAGTTTTACTCATTGGTTGTCAAATGTAATGTTAACTAAATTTTCCTGAATTTAAAGAAATGACAGCATTTCTGCAATGACAAAAATCACAACAGTTTCTTAAATGACAAAAATAAAAAACAAGTATCAAACAAAAATGAACACATCTGTTCCACCTTTATTTGACCCTCTAACTCTAGCACTTTCTATTCTATTTTAATTCTACTTTATCTACATTTACTTTCTTTTTTTTATTTAAAAAAATTTATATTTTAATTTCTATCTACTTTGTGTGTGTGTGTGTGTGAGAGAGAGATATGGTATATACACCTTTCGACGTGTACTGCGTTAGGTTAACCGAGACTTGTCATTTGCACTTATATATTGTTGCTCTTTTGTTAGTTTTGACTGCTTTTATTTTCCTCATTTGTAAGTCGCTTTGGATAAAAGCGTCTGCTAAATGACTAAATGTAAATGTAATGTAAAAACAAAAGAGGAAAAGTGAAAGTACTCTGGTGCACAACAGTAGCCAGCAGCATGCTAATGGGAAACTGTGAATCCACATGATCAAAAGTGCTCATTGAAACCCCCAAATACTTTCTTTTGCTTTCCCGTTTGTACGCACAAAAAAACATTTGGATGACTAAATACGTAAAAATCCCAACTGCTGTAATTTTTTTTTACTGCCGAGGAATGGAGTCATCCTCAAGGTAACTTTCCAGACTCCGCCCTCAATAGTCCCTCCTCGAGAAATGTTTAGCTATAAACCACAACACGTGCATTTAAAAAGCAACAGATTCCCTATCCACTTAGATACAGAAACAGAAATACTGAAGAAGATACCAAGAGCTGGCTAAGAAAACAGGATGACAGAGAAAAAGAAAGGTAAGAAGATGAAATAGGCAAATGGTACCTTTTTTTATTTTATTTTTTATAATATCTCTTAATGAAAAAGAAAATGTCAAGTTTAAAGAGAATTATGTTGGTATATAAAAATGTAACTTAGCAAGTAGCAAGTTAAAATTAACTTATTTTTTTTGTTTGTTTTAAGAAAGTTAACCAACCAATGAATTAACAATAATGCATACCATTACATCGTCAATGAAATAATTAGATACATTTTATATTATGTGTTAATAATATGTAATTATGATTCACCGTGCAACGTTGGAGAGTCCGAGCTTGATTATGTCTGTGATGCACAAGGAAACTTTACGAAACCTAGTGATTTTGTCAGTGAGCAGCGGCCTCAACCATCGGTTCGTTCGAACAGTCCGTTTCAAAGAATCACTTCAACTTCTATAATTAAACATACATTTATTACATTTGAAGTTTTTTAATAAGTGTGTTGATTGTAATTTCATGTATCCTAGTTCAGGTTGTTGCAGACATGATTCGTGTCAATTAGAACCTAAATGGAATTTGTATTTACATTAAACAAAACGTAATTTTATTCCTTTGGTTGAGAATCAAACCAACACTGTTTCATATGTGCGTTTATAAAACTGTCACGTCGTAACTATATTCAACAATTGGTCGTTCATTTTTAGTTCAATGAGGATTGACTCGAGAGGCGCTCAGATCAGTTCGATTCTCGAGTCATTTGAACCAAAAGAATGATTCGCGAATCAAACGCACTGGGAAGTCCCGTGTTAACGAAAGTTGCAAAAGAGACAGACGAATCAAAACAGAGAGAGCTACACCGCTAAGATGAATCTCTAACGCCAGACTTGTCTTATTTCAACCCCAGAGAAAGTCAAGTGCGTGTGTGACACGCGGTGGTGCCTGAAAGCGATTTCTTTCCACTCAGACGTGAAGGGTCGTCTGATAACGCTGAGTGACGGCGGACGTCGGGTTTCCAGGGACGAGTCGTCTTTCTGCCACGGGCTGACGTTCAGCGGGCGAGCGGTGAAGACCGAGGAGAAGCTGCGCCTGCGGGTCGAGCGCTGCGGCGGAGACTGGCACGGAGCGCTGCGGCTCGGATTCGCTCATGTGTCACCCGAGCAGACAGCTTTACCCCCTCTGGCCATCCCAGACCTGACCAACTCTCCGCTGTACGCCGCAGTGATAGTCCCCGAGCACATCTGTCGCCCAGGCTCAGAGATTGAGTTCATGCTGAAGAAGAACGGCAGTCTGAGGATACGAAGCTCTGATGGCAGAACACACACGGAACAGACCACCCTGAACCCCAAGTGGCCCGTCTGGGCGATGATTGACGTCTATGGGCAGACCACGGCAGTCACAATGCTCGGTGAGCCTTCTGTTCTGTCATATTGTGCTCTGACTGGATTAAAGGGATAGTTCACCCAAAAATGAAAATTCTATCACCATTTACTCACCCTCAAGCTATTCCAAACCTGTACGAGTCTCTTTCTTATGTGGAACACAAAAGAAGATATTTTGAAGAATGTGGGCAACAGTTGACGGTACCCATTGACTTCCAATCGTCTATGCTTCCAATGCATGGGGTGCGGGGTTTGAACAACAGGTTTGAAACAAATTGAGGGCAAGTAATTGATGACAGAATTTTATTTTTTGGACGAACTATCCCTTTCACACACACACACACACACACACACACACACACACACACACACACACACACAAACAAACAAACAAACAAAGAAAATATATTTTTATTTTTGTGGTATGCGTTTAAAGTATGATGTTATATCAAATTATGTTTTATTGTTCTGTAAGAGAAAGAGCCAGGGGTTTTCAAACTTTTTACCACCAATATGATGCCCTAAAGTAAAGCCCCTTTCCTAAAAATATAAATGCGTAATATTCATGAAAAACCCATTTATGCAGTGTGCAAAAATATTATAAAAACTGCTAATTAATTTAGGATTAATTCAAATGAATTAATGATGTTTGCTAAATAAAAAGTGTTTTTTTTTTATATTGTCATTGTAAAGAAAATTGTTAAAATATTATCTAGAAAACTGTACTTTTTGTTGATTTGTCAAAGTATTTGAGATTAATATAGAGTAGAATAAAATAATCTCAATTAATCTCATGATTTCTGACCAGCCTTTAGAAAGCATAATATAATAATAGTACTGAATTAATTAATAAAATTAAAGATAGAATTGTTATTAGTAATATTAATTATTAACAGATAATAAGATACAAATAATAATATTGTGAATGTGATTGTAAAATAAATAAGTCATGTACAACAAACAAATTAATATGTATCTTAAATGTACCTGTTAACTTTGACGGCTCTAAAAATACATTTAGTAAAATCTTAAAAGCGATTTAACGGATCCTTTGCTGCCCCATGTTTGAAACCCCCTTGACCTAAGCTACACTCAAGCGTTATCATAAATAAAAGCTTGTTTTTTTGAGTTGTCTTAGACTTGAGTTGTCCTAACAGTTGATGTGGTCTCTGTATATAGGTTCCAAAATGAAGCGCTGGGTCTTCACCAGTCGGTCCTGTCCTGCTCTCACACACATCAGACACACTGAAGATAAAGAAACGCAGGAGAGAAAGATACAAATGAGCATGCTGGAACCGAGAAACCTGAGAAACCATCACCTTGACAGCACAGGTGAGAATCAGACCAGCACAAGGCAGCTCTGTTATGGCCTAGTACACCTAATTTCACCACCTAAACTCCTCCCTTTCCTTGCTTTAGATCATGAAGCTCCAGACTGTGAGGAGTGTGTGGTGTGTTACAGTAATGTGGCAAACTGTTGTCTGAGCTGCGGTCATAAATGTGTGTGTACTCCATGCGCCATGAGGGTTCACATGATGTTTGGGACCTGTCCTCTGTGTCGTCAGCCCTTGGGTTCCTTCCATCCCTATGACCACTAGCTTTCTTCCCAGCTCAAGTGGCCATACAGTTTGTTGAATGTACATTGAATGTATTTTAAGTTCTTATGTGCTGCTGTAATGTACAAATCTGTCACTGCACTGTGCAGATGTTGTATATATATATATTTTACTCTGTTTTGTAAGTCGCTTTGGATAAATGCACTGAATTTAAATGAATATTTATTTTTATTTTGAGTCATATTGATTATATTTGTTTATATGTATATTTATACGTATGCTGAGATGTTCTAAATCTATAATGTAAATAATATGATGTAAATATATGTAAATATCTATTTATGTATATGAATAATGTTTTTTTTTTTTTTAATTTTGTATTAAATACGTTTTATGTAAACAGTTTGTTTGATTGATTTTTATGCTGGTCCTGCACTACTGCACTTTCCCGCCAGGTGTCAGTATTTTATAGGAAAACAGAAACTCCCAGCAACACAGAAGAAACGTTTACGAAAGTTTACTCATAGTTATTATTATCCAAATTGTTTTACGACGTTCATGTTCAGCGTTCATCAATATGAATATTGCTGCAGAGAAAGTCTAAATTTAAACGTGAGTGAACTTTTTCCTTTAAAATAGTAAGTTATTTGAAAATAGTCAGGAAGGGTGGAGAAGAGGAATCACGGATTTGGGCGCGAGAAATGCAGTGTGTACTAAGAAGAGAAAGTGCTATATTTGGTTTAGTTTGTTAGTTTCTGGCTTTTTGATGTTGAAATACCATAGATTACTTAGGATTTTAGGGAATATTGAGAAATACAGGGGGGAAATGATCTCAGGATGATGCTTATTTTGATATTATCTCCTTTTTGAAATGGTAGGCCCTAATACATAATATTTAAACCAGTCAAAATAGCACCGGGGCTAGTTGTCACAAAGAGTTTTGAGTTAAAAGTCTAAATTTACAAATGTGTGTTTCTGTAGCAATGGTTTTGTATGTTTATTTCAAACATCTAGTTTAAAATCCTCTTAAATTAGTATACTATTTGTTAATTCTGTCCTCCAAACTAAAATTACAGTACCACATTTTTCTTTTTAGCTGGTATGTTACAAGTGAAGTTAATAAAACTAAATTGACCTTCAGACAACAGTGAACTAAATTTTAAAGATCATAAATATGTTCTGAGGGAAAGACTTTTCCCCCCACAAATGTTTATGCCAATTTATGTGAGGAGGTTTAAAGATTTATATATATTTTTTGCAAATAAAATTTTCATTCATTTGGATTGCACCTAACTTTAGCATAAACTAATAATCTGTGATGCATATTTGTCCGTTTTAAATGCACAAAACCAGGTTTATATGTTTATCACACAATCCATTTGCTAAACCGAACATTTTAAAGAATTGAATCTTGCTTATGTATAGACCATGTTCATACTTTTTCAACTGATTCATTTTTTTCTCCACAAATAACAGATTTGGCCTGATTCTAAGGTATTTGAATAAGTACATTTAGAAATATGATAAATCAAATTAATGCAAATGTTTAATAATAAAATATACCATGATTCGTTTTGTTGAGTTCAGGTTGGACCAGGTTAAATTATTAAATATTAAATGCACAAAGGGCTGTATAGCGCAGTGAGTAAATGATGCAAAATACTGACTTATTGTAAGCCTATAAATACAGATCTTTGGTGTTGTGCTTTCTTGTATCATTTGTTTCTGCAGTGGGCAACAAGTCCAATCAGTCGGCCATCAGCATTAAATCACTAGTTCCAGTTAAACCCTAGAAACTAAGTTATAAGGGTGGGAAAATCATAAAAAGAGGGGGAGGAGAGAGGCGGAGTGAGTGGGACGTGACCTTTGGTTGTTGATCACGTTGTCTGACTGTTAAATATTTATTTTGGATGGCAGAACAGAGCCTGAGGAAGGCGAAAAGTAGTGAGGGAGGGTTTGCAAAGCCACCGAGTCAAAGCAGAGAGACTCAGTACAGAGAGAGGGATAGAGAATGACACATAGTGATCTGAAGATTGCCGTTCAGTTTGATGAAGAAAACAAACATCCTCTTCAACAGCAGACGTGCAGCACGGTAAGTGTCCTTGGGTAGCTTCTGTATGGTCTGTATGTCTTAATGTACACTACCATTCAAAGGTTTGGAATCACAACGACTTTGGAATTTCTTTGACAGAAAAGGATTGGTTTATTCACAAAGCATGCATAAAATTGAGCAAAGTCCATCGCATCTGAGAGTCTTCTCTTGACTGTTGCAAATGAAGCTGGTGTTTGGTTTGAATTGTTCAGTGAATTGTCCAGCTGAGCACCAGTCAGAGCTCTGGTTCTCAAAAACTTCCCATCTTCTTGTTCATCTGTGCCGTCTACGAGCCGGTTAGATTCAGTTTGCTTGCTTTCTCAAGATAATCATGTATAGAGCGGCCTTCATCTATTACAAAAAAAGAGTAAGATGAACAATTGTGTTGTTTGGTCATTTAAAAAAACAATCACAAAATCTAACTAGAAAGAGTACAGTGACCTGGAAGAAATGCAAGTGTAACTTCATCATCTGAAAAAACAAATCGGCACATTAATTAATTGTTTTTTCATGTAAGTGGTTTTCCTAGTTGACTTGAGTAATAACTGCTTTGCCATCACAGGTAAAAATTTAACATTTTAATTTGCCAATTGCAAACTTTTTAATGGTAATGTAGTTACAATAATTATCCTATCATATAATAGGCTATAACAATAATTCCCTATTTTGAATGGCTCTTTGTTTATTTGAATGACAGTCTTTTTGTGTCCCATTTAACTGCTCATTACATATTGTTGTGAGATATGAGGAAAGAAAGGTGGTGTGGGTAAATAGGGATGAATAATCTCATCCACTTGAAACCTCCTTTCCCTGGAATAAAACTGATAAAGATTTCTTCAGAAGTGTGCAGTGCATGTGATAATACAGTGTCTATTGGGTGTGAAAATGACTTCTTGAGGAAGTGTGTTTGCAGTTTAACCTCAATTTTACAGTTAACCTCATAGTTAGTTCACCCATCTGTAGTGGTCTCCGAAACCATAGTAGACGTTATTGAGGGCACTCAATCCCATAATGACCCACAATAACGAGTGTACAACCGATGAACACTCAACAGCTAGAGAATACCCAAAATGCACTATAAGGGTCATGCCTACTGAGTTCTCGCATCTTGCCTGAAGGTGGCGCCTGCAGCTGAATCATCCATCCATCCATTTTCCAAACCGCTGATGGGTAGCCAGCCTACAGCATCATATCATACAGGTATAGATTTCTTTTGAATTGATTGTTAAATAGTTTAATGCAGGTTCCATGACAGAGAGATAAATCTTTTCATTTACATTTAGTCATTTAGCAGACTCTTTTATAATAATGATAATAATAATAATTTTTCTCAATACTCAAGGTCGCTTTACAATATCAAAACAGATAAACATGACAGCAGACAAAAAAAATAAACAAAATACAGATAAACATGAAATCCATGGCATGAATCAGATCATGCAGTCAGAGGAAAAGATATGTTTTAAGGTGGGTTTTGAAATCCTGTAATGAAGAAAGATCACGAATGTGTTTGGGAATAGAATTCCAGAGTGTGGGAGCAAGAGATACAAAACGCTCATCCACCATCCAAAGCGACTTACAAATGAGGACAATGGAAGCAACCAAAATCAACAAAAAGCAATGATACGCAAGTGCTATAACAAGTCTCAGTTAGCTTAACGTAGTACACCTAGCAAGGTTTTTTTTAAATTATATAATAAATAAAAAGAAAACAGATAGAATAGAAAAAGAATAGAGCAAGCTAGTGTTCGAGGCCTTTTTCGCTTTTGTTAATTGTATAATAAATAAAAAGAAAACAAAAAGATAGAATACAAAAAGATTAGAAAAGCTAGTGTTATTTTTTAAAGAAAACAAGCAGTTAGTAAATGAATAGAGTGCAAGTCTAAAAGGGACAGGTTTTTTAAGAATATAATTAGAATAGAGAGTGCTAGAGTTAGAGGGTCAAATAAAGATGGAGCAGATGTGTTTTTAGCCGATTCTTGAAGATGGTTAAGGACTCAGCTGCTCAAATTGAGTTGGGCAGGTCATTCCACCAGGAGGGAACAGTTAATGTAAAAGTCCATTTCTAATGGATTTGCAAGTTTGTTACATTTTCCAATGATTATTAAACAGCAGGCTTATTTTAAACATTTCTCTGAAAAAATCTGACTCATTCTTGAATCACACATCACCACTTCAAGGAAAACAGGCGGATGTGAAGACTTTTTCTTATTGCAGCCTTAGACAGTAATTTGAAATGTGCTTAGGTTGATGTCGAGTGCCTCATTTTAGCCGGTCAGCCCAGCAGTTTAAGTATCCTCTAATTTAATGGACATCAGCGGCCTCTAAACATCATTGCCTGAGGAAATAGCATGTTGTGTGGCTGAACATATAGTGATGTTATTTGATTGACATCTCATGCTCCAGCAGAGGGCACATCTCCAATTCACCTTTTTGTTACTGATAGTAGACTGAAGGAAGCCCTGAGGTTGCGATCCTGTTCGCTTGTATGCCAAGTAAAGCAGGCATGAAGTATGTCAGAGAGACATAAAGAGAGTATCTATCCTCCAATGGACAATGAACTGATGTATTTGCAGATCAAACAGGCCGTCTGTGTGTGTGGGAAGGGAAATGCACTCATTTGTTCTTTCGATTTGAACACACAAGTGGGTTTCTCCTCAGCCTGCATGGGACTGTCTATTATTTCCAGCTGTGCATGTGTGTGTGTGTGTGAGTATGGGATGGAAACTATTACAGAGCTTTGGACTCGTTAGGCACAGAGAGTTTCATGTATGATCCTGGCTTGCCCAGAATGGTGTATCACACACACACACGGACAAAGGCTGAGTCACAGAATCACAGTAAATTGCAAACGCCCTCCCAGCAGAAACAGAACGGGCTGTAATCCGTTCCCTCTCTCTGCTGCTTTCTGTGCTGCTCATTCCAGGGAACGTCTCCTCACGGTAAATACCCGTCTCGCAGTTCTCCTCGAACTTCATGACTCTCTTTTACTCAACTGTATGCTTCTGTTCTTCACTGCTGGTCTGTTTCATGCTGGTTTTTAAACATGAAACATCAGCTTTTCTATCTTGCTGTAACATTTGTGGAGATGCATGCTGGGGCTCAGACAGTGAGGATTTACTTGTTTGTCAGGGTGTGAAATGTCAAATGCAGGTACTTTGTGTGCAGTGGCTTATTAATGTATAAAACATCTTAGATTAATGCTAAAGTGGACTAAAAACAGATCCAAGTCCACTTTTAGTGACAATGTGAATGCAAGGAGAACATCCAGTGCTCTTACAGCTGTCATGTTGTCATTTGCTGTTGAAGGTAGGGTATGTTGTGAAACGTTGCACCGGTAGTAGCTGTTGAGCGTGATCTGCTAGATTCTTGTCAAACAGTGTTTCCCATGTGGCTGGTTGACAACAGTCATTTATTCATAAAGTAGATGCAGTCAGCCAGTAGTAGGGGAAACAAATGTATCAGTTTATTTGAGTTAAAATGACAAAAAAAAAAAAGACAAAAAGAAACTTTTTTTTTGTATTTCGAAGTTAAGAACTGATTTTGCCACAAAATTAGAAGCTAAAAAACCACTATCAATTCAAGAAAGTCAGTTACAGGACGATGATAGATGCAGGTAGAATCACACATCTTTGCATGTGCATGTCAGCAGTTGAGTTGACTTTTTAAATTTAAAAGATAAAATTCAAATACAGTAAATAGATAAATATGTGCCAGAAAACCACAGTGGAACCAGTGTTAGAAGCTAAAACTATTAAACATCATATTCATAAATTGAAATAAATCTGAAATAAAATAAAAAATATATATATTAGATGAAAAAACTGAAATAAAGTAAGTTACTAAAATAAAAAAAATAAAAAAACGAAATCAAAGCTGCACTGGAAAATGTACTAGTAATTTTCTGCCAGGACGTTATCCATTAATTTTATAGACATTTCCATTAACTCTCCAAAAACACAATGCAGTGCAAAATACTGGTGAAGCATATGTTAAAAATTCTTCATATTTATACGGTACACTGTGCCCTATTTTTATGGAATTTTTAGAGTGTAAATAGATTTACAAAAATAAAAACCATATAACAATATTTAATAAATGAAAACTAAAAACATAAAAACATAGGCGCAAAATGAAAATATTAATTAATACCATAATAGCACATAAATAATACCAAATAACTTGTGTTTTGTATCTTGCACATTTTATCCACAGTAGCTCATCTGTGTTCCAGAACATACAAATGTTGAGGTCGCAAACTCTGCATCCCTATAAAATCGATTTTTGAGTGTTATTTATCAGATATATATAGCAGCGTGGTCTGGGTCTTGTCAAGAGTAAATATTTACCATTGTGGTGCTTCCTCTTACGCAACACTGAGTCATGCCAGCCATGCTGTTATTCAGCAGTGGTTAGCTGTCATTCACAGTATCCCTTGAGCCACTGGTTACATTTTGTCAGGATTGAAGCAACATGCTTACGCTATAATTTACTGTATAATTACTTTGACAAATCATAGCTATTTAAAGGCAGGGTATGTGATTTTTCAAAAACACTTTAGAAAACTGATTCGGGCCGAATCGCAAAACAAACTTGTAGCCAATCAGCAATAAGGGGCGTGTCTACTCGTCTCGTGATGTGGAGGAGAGAGCTTTCAGTGCATGGGACGGACATTAGCGGAGCCGAGCGACAGAAAGATAGAGATGGCGGATAAAAAACAAAAGAGGAAAACGTCTGCGGAACGATAAGGCAAGAAGTAGGACCCGTGTAAATATCGGATCAGCTTTCCAGCGCTGGAGAGAACTCAAGGAGCGGAGGCCTGCGATCGGACGCCGAGGTTGCTTTGTTTCTTCTCAATAGGTGAGTAACACCTTGTCTACAACAGCTAAAGTCTGCCTACACTGGACGCGATCAAATGACCGTTGAAAACCATTTGAAATGTGTCAGCACGTCATAAATAGAACCCGGCAGCACTTTTCTGTCGGGGATTTGTTGTGCCGCGCCGCTCGCGTCCGGTGTAGACACGGTGTAACATTGGTTTTGCTTTGTTTCACAGAACTAATCGTTGCCTGGGTTGCGTACGTATATGTGGGGCGGAGCTATCAGAATAGGGGCAAGACCCTTTTGGGGTAGGGGCGTGTTTGTTTTGGTGATTTCAAATATCAACATTGGCTACCAGAAATCCCTTACTCTGCCTTTAAGACTATTTATTTGTTTTCATTAGAGCGATGGATTTCCGCTTGGTTTAAAGCCGGGTTTTACAACCTTTTTTAGGCCAAGTACTCAATTTAGTTGCTCAGAAATGCAGTAATAACAGTAATATTGCGAAATATTTCTACAATTTAAAATCTATTTTAATATATTTTAAAATGTAATTTATTCCTGTGATGCAAAGCTGTATTTTCAGCATCATTACTCCAGCCTTCAGTGTCACATGATCCTTAGAAATCATCCTAATATGCTTATTAGCTGATCAAGAAACATTTCTTATTATTATCAGTGTTGAAAACAGTTGTGCTGCTTCATATTTTTTGTGGAAACAGTGATGAACAACATTTATTTGAAATATAAATGTTTTGTAAGATTCTAAATGTCTTTGCTGTCACTTTTGACCAATTTATTGGACCCTTTTTTTTTAATATATCTGCAAAAATGTCAACAATTCTGTGTTTTTCTGTCAATATGGGGTGCTGTGTGTACATTAATGAGGAAAAAAAATTAACTTAAATGATTTTAGCAAATGGCTGCAATATAACAAAGAGTGAAAAATTTAAGGGGGTCTGAATACTTTCCGTACCCACTGTATATATATATATATAAACGTTTGAATGGTAATGTATATGATATTTAACATTGCTAAGCTATTCATATAATCATTATTGATGTACAAAGACATGACCAGCCAGCGACTGTGGAACATTTAGCTAAAACGTAAGTTGAAGTTAATGCATGTATTTTATGCAATATTGAAAATCTTTCACAAAAATGTGTTAAAGATCAAAGACTGGCAACCCTCCTGCAGCAAAGACCCCTGGTTTAACGAAACCTGTACATTTTATATGCTTTCTCACTCTATATTTGGTTTATCTGTATCTTTAGAACAGAACTGAACCTTGTCCTAACAGAATAAAAAGAGAAAGGCAGAAATAATAAAGAGAATGGCATTATGTTTGATGATGTTTCTTTCAGTCCACTAATCATCTTACTGACAGACACAAATATCAGCTCGCTGCAGGAGACCGACCATTAATAACAGAAGCGTACATGCCTCCTCTCCTAGTTCATCACTCACTCTCGATGATTTATTTCTCTTTTCTCAGTCTCACATGCTCAGCTTTCATAGCAGCGTAAGACCTCTGTGTTCTGCTCTCCTCTCGTCTGGTCTCACCTCACGCTTTCTCCTGTTTAAACTGTCAGCTATGAATGTATTTTCTTCTCTCCTCCTCTGTTTTGCAATAGTCTGGTTGCTGTTTGGCAAAAATGCCTCACTGCACACACGCACGCACACTCACACACACACGCACACACACACACACACACACACACACACACACTGTAAGACTATACCATTTAAGACTGGTTTGCCCTACAGAGCCAAACCACTGAATTATTAAGAACGAACTGGCTCCCCAAGATCCAGTGGAAAATAGACCCTTCTGGAAAACAGCACACATGCATAAAAGAGTTCAGGTAATCTAGAATTCATTCTTTAAAATTCATACACACTGAGGTAGTTGAACCCGATAAAGCTTTATTATGATTGTGTTGGCCTGGCCATTGTGTGGCCTGGTGCTTAAAGATCTGGATGTAAGTTCGAACCCCACAAGAGGGATTGAAGAATAATGACTATTGTGCTCTTGAAACTTCAAGTTGCTCCAATAAGAGTATAGATCAAAGCATGAGATGTACTACTATTATGAATGGATAAAATTTCTGAATATGATTTAAAATACATATCATAATTTAAAAAGAAAAGAAAAAATATAAATAATCCTGATTGTGACAAAAAAGGATTCATAAATCATATGTACTGTATATGTCAGCTAAAAAAACGTATTATTATTTATTACTTATTATTTTTGGTTGATCATGCCACATTCTAGCTTGCATAAAACTCAAGTCTTGTAAATCAGATCATCAGTACTTTGTACTGTACAGTGATAATCCACAATCACCGTCAGCACAGTTCCTGAGAAAACAGCAGGATATAACATGTCTGAGTAGTCAATGATAAATCGATAAGATTAACAGCTGTAAAATATTGGTCATGATCAACAATGTGATTTTATCTGTTTTTATATGATTATATTGCTATGTTTATGTTCAACTTATTTGTATTCTAAAATGTTGTATGGTTGATCACAGCTCGTATATTCATGTATAATACAAAATAATCATAAAATACATTTTTAATAATTGCATTTTTATTATTTTTAAGAATTATTTTTATTTGTACTCTAATTCAGCAAGGATTAAATTGTTTTAAAAAGTCACAGTAAAGACGTAAAAATGTATCACAAAAAATTATGGTTTTCACAAAAATATTAAGCAGCACAATTGTTTTCAACATTGATAATAATAATAAGAAATGTTTCTTGAGCAGCAAAAAGCATATTAGAATAATTTCTGAAGGTGACACTGAAGACTGGAGTAATTTACAGCTTTGCATCAAAGAAATAAATTACATTTTAATATATATTCAAATAAAAAACAGTAATTTTAAATTGTAATATTATTTCACATTATTACTGTTTTTACTGTATTTTTGATCAAATAAATGCAACCTTGGTAAGCATAAGAGACTTCTTTCAAAAACATTTAAAAAAATCATACAGACCCCAAACTTTTGAACTGTAGGGAATATTATATATGAAAATACCTTAAATCACAGATTTGAAACTTTATGGTAATTGTATTTTATTTTATTTTTTCACTTACCCTA